TTAACGCGTTAAGGCCAGTATGCAGCTCTCAAGAAAAGCAAAAACTCCATATAAAATGACGGGCAAGAAATGCCTAAAGGTGCTGGCGCAATGTAGGCTTGCTTTGCTCGCATTAGCTCGCTATACAGTTCAATGCGAGAGTGAACGTGAAAATTTTGAGACTTTGGCTATTCGAAACTTTGAAACATACATTGGCCGGTTTATAGTTGTAAACCACGGCCAGGTTATTCCTCTATTGTCAAAATATATCAGTATGTTATCTTCAAACTGCTGTGCCCAACGTTGCTCCAATGATACACGTATTGTAATACCGCTGAGGGCCAGAACCACGTGGAAAAGTTTCTGTCATGCTTACGTCTTATTGATCCTATTAAATCATGATTATATCATTTTAGAATGTGTAATGTGTTTTCTTGGTTGGAACCTTAGCGTGCCCACAAGTAATCAGGCCTCGAATCGTAACATCCGTTCACGGATCGAAAACGAAACGAAGAAAATTACGAGATACGACAGACAGTATAAGCTGAATGGGACAAAGAGTACGTTCACGTATGTCATAATCCGAAAATGGTGCTTTTACGTGACGAGTAGTACGTTATCGTATGTGACGATTCGAGCCATGGTTATTCCTCTAATTTAATAATTATTAGTTATACGTCAGGTAAAATTTATTAAGTTTGTATTTGTATGGCAGGGAACTAAGTCCTCGTATCGCCAGGTGATTCCTCCAATTTAATAACTTTATAATTATTTGTCGTATTATATTTGATAAATATCCATTAAATTGTAATTTCCAACAATTTTAAAAATTTATTTCTTTAAAATATTTCTTGTTTCGTTTCTTGGAACGGTCATGCTTATACATTTTTTTATTGTGTGTATTTTAATCTAATATTTGCTTTATAAAAAGTCGACAGGTCAGCACGACCATGCTCGTCGTGGTCAAATTTCGTTGAGGCAGTACGCAACTCTTAAGAAAATTGCTACCTAGTAGACTCGGATTTCTTTAAGTTTTTTGTCAAATAAGGGCACAATTTATTTGGGCTTTTCTTACCAAGCTTGGTAAATTGGTTATAGAAATAAAAATAAGCAAGTAAAAGCAATCTAAGGCTCAGTTTTGTCATCAAAAGTAAGAATTTTATAATCTTAACAGTTGCTTAATTTGAAAACTATTACCTACACATTTTTTAAGGCTTTCAATATATGTACATATACTCCTATAATAGTTAGCTGGCCTTTCGCGATTTTTTTGAATGCATGCATAAAAAAGAGTTTGGTATCATGTTATCCATAGTGTGCATGTTGATCTTTTTAAGCAAATGAAGGGACCTAAGGTCGCCTCCGAACTGTATCACGGTTTTATGAGAAACGATTTCATGGCAGAAGCACACTTCCTGGAACTTTATACGGGAGCCTAAAATAAAATTGATTCATATTAAATTGATTCATAGAAATTAATTTTTGAGGAAAATTATCTTTTTTGGATATTTAAATAACAAAGAAAAATTTAACATTTTATCAGGCAGGAGAGAATTAATAAATTTTGCTTAAATTTAAGCAAAACGGCAACGCTGAAGGCAACTCATGTTTGTAACAGAAATATATGCCCGTTGCATTATTTCTTGAGGAAAGAGTGACGCAACGGGGCTGTGATGAATCAAATGTAAAAATTCCTTGGATACACACATGAAAAATGGCAATTTTTTCTTGGCCGTTTTCTTGAGAGCTGCATATTGTCCTTTAAAAAGAAAATCCAATTTGTTTTCTAATAGATTATTTTACAAAAACCTCCCATATTTGCCTCATTTCAAGCTTTTGTTTATGTTTTAATACCATTTGAGCATACCTATTGTTTTAAGCATGATAAAACTATAAATATAAATGTTTTATCATGGTTTTAAGTCACACTACTCAAACTTGTATCTATTTAATTTGTTGAAGAATTTGAGTAAATGACGGTGGTGTCTTGAAGTTAATAACTTCGTTAAATACTAATTCCTTCCACTTTTCTACTGGCAAATCCATATCTTCAAAGCTTTGATCATACAATGGTGATGTTTGCTCATCGCTGGGTTCGGAATATTTTTCCATGTAAGGATGGGCTAACGCTTGTTCGGCGGTAATACGTTTTTCTGAATCTAATTCCAACATTTTCTCCAGTAAATCAATAGCTAGTGGATTGGCTCCTTTAAATACCTCCTTGAAGCTGCGTCGTTTCATTGGCGGTAACGATTTTATATAATTACGAGCACTCTCTGAAGATATTTTTTTCATGAAATCATCAGGAGGAGTACCTAATATTTCCATTATAAGATTTAATTGATGTATATGGTCTGTGCCGGGGAATAGAGTTCGGCCAGTAAGTAATTCTGCCATAATGCAACCCACAGACCAGATATCTACGGTTTGGTTATAGTGCATCCAATTTAACATAATTTCTGGTGCACGATACCATCTTGTAGCTACATAACCAGTCATCTCGCTTTCTGTTGGACGTGCTAGTCCAAAATCTAAAATACGTAACTCGCAATCTTCATTTACAGCAATATTTGACGGCTTAAGATCGCGATGAATAATGCCAGCACTATGGATATACTTAAGACCTCGCAATATTTGATACACTAAGAACTGAACATGATCATCAGATAGACGTTGTGTTCTGATAATATTATTCAAGTCAGCATCCATTAGATGTGTTACTAAGTACACTTGCTGAAAGTTTTCAAGTGTGACATCCACTGGATGTGGATGGAAAACGTCCAATAAACCTATGACATTGTCGTGGTCCATATGTTTTAATAAACGTAATTCGCGATAAGTACGCTTGGCGTGCACAGCCGATTGAAATGGACGTGCCAGTTTTTTTATAGCCACATACATATTAGTGCCTTGTACAAGAGCCTTGCACACCTGTCCATACGCGCCGGAGCCAACTGGTTGCAATTGCTGATAAAGCTCAGGTATTTCCCACTCAGTTCGGTTGATATCAACTTTATAAAATTTAGGCATGTTTACTGATATTGATGTGATAGATTAGGAAATCATTCAGTGCAATGTAGAATTATGCGCACATATGTATGTAGATGTAAATAGGTATTTTTAGACCGTGGTATTAGCTAATGGAATAAAGCCGTTTAAAAAGCAGTCACCAAAAACTGATCCATATTATCGTACTTACTTTTGAAATAAGTGATTAATGTATAAATAAGTTGTATATATGTTCTTCAAAAACTAAATATTGGATTATAATCTGGTGCCAAGTATGACTTATTTCAAGTGTATTTATTATAGAGATGCGCGATGTTAATCGATGCATCGTAAACATCGATGTATTTTACTCGATGTATCGATAACTACAACTTGCAACGACGACGAGCTACGAACAACAGCTGTCAAATTTCCACGTATACCAGATTTGGCGAGTCAGATTCTGATACTTGTGACCACATAATGGACGATTTTAGTCTTTGGAGTAATCATCACATCTTATTCACGGAAATTGGAAAACAAATACGACTGAAGAAAGCCTCTCCGATGAGCTATTAATTTATTTGGGAAGTCCGGTAAGTCGGTTTTGTGAAAACCCTCTAGAAATATGGGCAGATTACAAAATTCGGTTTACAAATTTATACGAAATAGCGTACAAATTCATACATACTTGACAATGATGGGCAGTTCCATGCCTTCTGAAGGCTTTTTTCAAAGGCCTCGTTTGTTTTGATTCAGCAGCGGAATATACCAGAGGCTAAAGGAGTTAGCTAAATTTTATTTTTACGAGGTTTAAAAAACATATTGAAGAATTAAAAAACAAAAATAAAATTAGTACAATTAACCTTATTAAAAAGGTTGTTTTATTTTATTTCATTTATTAGACAGGTCTATTAGTACAATAAGAACTTGAAAGTTTTTTTAGCACAGCGGTGATTATGACAGAAAAAAGGTTGAGAATTAGGCTTAAAACTAAGACTAAACAGAGCAAATACGAGTTACAATGGCTTAAGAGATGAAAGCTAAAGATATAAATAAATGAATGATAATAAATAAATAAAAACAACTAAGTAACAAATATTTAATTAATTTTTCTTTTTAATATCAAGGAATGTATCGAACATAGTTACATCGCAAAACAACAATGGCTGCATTTCTTTATTCATTCTGAACGTTTGGAATAAACTTTTTTGTTTATTTATTCTTTAGAACGTTCCTGATGATATGTTGACGTATATTTCAAACGCATTCTGTTTATTCCGGCTGTGAAATTGGATTATCCGGAATGTATAAAGAAACGCAGCCAATGTGTCTACACGATGTACATCGGGAAAAATCGATGTATCTTTTTAAGTGCGTATCTCTAATTTGTCATCGTAATTAGAGATTTTCCGATAATAGTGCTTAGGCTAAGCACATAGTACAGCGGCAGAATACGAAGAGAAAAGCTGCGATATGCTCTAAGCAAGAACGATAGAATACAAAATTGCGCATTCCCGCAAAATGACATTTGTGGCAATGGGTAAACAAAGAATATGGCGAAGAACAATGAGTTGACAGTTGTGAATTTGCAGTGAGAAATCGTGTTTTCTTCACGATTCACCAATTTCTCAAGCCATCTTTGAATATAGCAAATTAAGCACAATGTTAACAAAAAATATACAACCACTCTTGAAATGTGTTCAAAAGAATAGGTCTTATTAATTAACTATTTAGAATTTTTGCTTTTGTATTGCAGGTGCTGAAAAAGTGATAATATCTTGTCGCAGGGCATGTTTTCCTGCAGAAAGTGGTCGATGCTTGCTTACCTCCGATTTCAATTTTTAATTTAACTTTGTAATTTGTGTCTAAATTGTATGGCTTTCCTGCCGGCAGAACTCTACGCACTTTCTGGCCAAGGCGTCGTCGCGGGGAAACAAAAAAAACTGCATTTGGGGGCTTTACCCCTACGGCTGCTGCAATTCAACACACGACACGACTTTTTTATAAAGTTTTTATTACAAATAAAACGTTTTTTACTTTAGAACGCACGAATTACTTCGATTTTTCACTTGAAAGTACATAATACGTTTGCAATACGTTTGCAATTGTTTCTAAACAAAAAGTTTGTTTACGTAATGTCATAAACGTCCATGGTGTAATGAACTGAAGGTGGCGCATTCCCGAAACCGCTACTTTGGTTTCGCCGACTTTGACGTTTATGGCAATACGTAAACAAACTTTTTGTTTACATGAGCCGATCAGTCAAACGAAAACCAGTTTTCGTTGAAAACTACTTGAAAACTCACGTTCCACTCATTCCAATCGGTGTCTTC